TGGACTTCTAGGTGACATTTGAAGAGATCTTAAAAGAAAATAACTACAAATATTTTCCTTAATGATTTCTTAAATGAGTCCCCCCTGTGACCATGGTTGCTGTAAAGCACCCGAAACGTCGGGAATTAAAAATAAGTAAAAGTAGTGAAATAAACGCGATAAAATCCGTAAATTTAGTTTTATTCAATATTTTCCTTTTTTATTCTTTTATTTAATTATTCTTTTTTACAATTTTTGTCTTGTCTGTTGAGTAGGTGGGTACGTTAGTATTGCTAATATGAATAACCATACGCCATAAAAAAAGTCTATGCGGTGGTTGCGTAAGAAAATCCATAATTTCGTCAGGTTTGCCGTTTTTAGAAGAGATTACGGAAAAATGACAGAAATAATATTTAATTGCTTGAGATATATAGCTGTCTAATAATCCCGTCTATCATTTATATAAAATAATCAAACTGGTTACTCTTAACCAGTATTTTTTTTATTTATTTATTTATTAAATTTTATAAAATTTTTACAAAATGATTATTTAATGTCTTAAATCCCATTCCAAATATATATTTTATTGATTATTGTTGTATCAATATATATTTATCAATTTTATTGATTGAATGAATGAAATATAGTTTATTTTACATCAGATATATATATGAGAGAAAAAAAAAACATAAATTATTTAAAGGTACAATTGGCGGTCTTATCGCTTCGATCTCTACCAGGCATCGATTGCAGAGGACTAAGTGACCTGTAAGAAAGGGTAAGGGTGTATGTAGGTTGTAGAAAAATACACACGACATAAATATAATTACATAATCGATAAATACACATATAATATAATGAATAAGCACACTTTAAACGCAAAAATATATATACATACAAATACTAGAGAAAAGAATAAACAAGTAAGTGTTATCAAGCCTTAACATAAGGAAAAATAAGTAGGTAGTATTTTTTTAGAGAAATTACTACTTAAGGAGAAAAGAAGTGCGCTTTGAAAAGTTTTTTAAACTTTTCAATAGACTGCGCACTTCTAATGTACTAAGCTTCAGTATAGAAGGATTTAGAATAGATGGAAATGATATGAGATGGAATTTTTATGGTCAGGTTTTTATCAGAGTGAAGAGAGCGACAGTGAGATTGGAGTTTTTTTTTTGGTGACAAAAAAAAAACTCCAATCGCTCTTTAAGGTAAGCAGGGGAAGTGGGATTGAATAGAATACAGTATAAAAGAGAAATAATGTGAGTATTCCTGCGAAGACGGATCGGAAGCTACTTGAGTTTTTCGCGATATTCGAAAACATGGTCATATTTTCGAAATCAAATATGAACTGTATTTGTTTGTATATGTTTATAGATACATACATATATATCATTACCGTTACCGCTACAACCTATTAAAGTTCACTAATGAACATAGGTCTCCCCCATATATTGTTTAAAAGGGAAATATTTGCCACAGTGCAATGGGTTGGCATCCACAGTTTTTATTTATTTTAAGTCGCTATTAAGAAGACGCTGCTGCCCATCTCCTGATTTGTTTCCCTCTGTCGCCTCTTATGAAACCAGCGGGATGATATGAGGTAGTGGATATTCTTATGCTGCCACTACACGGTATTGATTATACGCGTGATGTATTTAAAATCGTTAAAGTAGTACCTTCACAGCATATACTTCCTTCCTTACCAAGAAACTTTTTGTAAATATTAAGTTATAGTATCACTATCAACATGGTATCCGCACTCCTAATTTTATCAAATCTATCCACCAATTGGTCTATATATATATATATATATATATATATATATATATATATATATATATATATATATATATATATATATATATATATATATATATATATAACAGATAAAACGACGCAATAAACTGATTTTAATTTAGGTTCTATTTAGTATAATGATCTTCTATATAGGGCTATGAAAATCGCGTTTTATGTTCTGGTTTATTTTGATATTTGTTGACTCTATATTCTTTATTCTTGCTATATATATATATATATATATATATATATATATATATATATATATATATATATATATATATATGATAAATAAATGCTAATATAGTAATTTAATTACAATAAACACTAATAGTTTCGATGTTAATCCCACTAGAATTAGCATTTCAAAAACAAATTCATATAAAACTTCTCGAAATACTGTGTGGAGTGAAGACTATACTGTAATTATTGTAATTATACTAGTTCCGTACACCTTTCAGACTAGAATACAGCAATGCTAACAGTTAGGCTCCAGAAATAGGTAAGAGACCCATCCCGAACGATTGACTAGGATGAAAACAAGTGCTACCACCTTAGAGAACTGTGAACTGTATAGTATGAATTTTGAAGATATTTATTTTAAAAAAAAGAAATCCGTAAGATTAACATAAGATATCAGTTATATATATATATATATATATATATATATATATATATATATATATATATATATATATATAGCACTGCTAGATTAAAACTGTTTTAACTCAAAAAACCACTTTTTTCACAATTCGAGAATAACTGATATCTGGTAAATTACTTAAGGTATTGAATTTCTACAAAAAGATTATATAAGATGTTTTAATATTCTATGACATAAGCCACATACATTGTTTTGCATAGTGAGCTGAAAAAATCAGGAATTTTGACTTACGACGGTTTTGGTTTGTCAAGGATAAAAAAAATTGAGCATTTTGATTTGAATCCGTTTTGTACAGAAAATTTTGAGTTATGACGCTTTTGTATTAAAAAATATTGACATGATGATTTAGATAAACTGCATTCAGCTCTTTAATTTATGAAACCAGGACATTAAAAGAAATAAATAAAACATTATTTGGTGAAATATAGTATTCTATTGCACGTACTAAAATCAAATCTTCATACATGTTACAAAAAAGGAAATAAGTAATAAATGAAGGTACTAACTAACATTTCTCGACGTAGGTTCTTCTATTTGACTTTTTTTAACCTAATGAACTATTCCAATAATATTAATAAAAACCTTTGCTTATGAATTAAAAATCACAATTCTTTTTTATCACTCACTTAATGGGTTACCTACAAATTAATCAGACTTTGTATCTAACGGCGTGCTTATTAATTCAACATCTAGTAATAAATCCTTTTAAACATAATAATAAAAAAACCTTTGCTTATTAATTATAAATCACAAAATAATATTTAATGCCTACTTACTTAATCGGTTAAGTACTAATATTAATCAGACTTTGCAACAATGTGCTTATAAATTCAACGCATTTTTATAATAACTGTCATAATAATTCTTTGGAATCACTTTTTTCTCAATAAGTTCTTGAATATCTTTGGTTTTAGCTTCAGATAACAGAATTTTAGACGTATAAGCTTTCATCAAACCTGAAGAAAATTCTTCTTAAGTTTGTCTGGTTTTTTTCTTTTGCACAAAAACTTTTTTAAAGTTTAGGTCAGCATAGGATGTTTTATAGAAAAACATGCCAGGGCTTTCTTTTTCTACTCGAAGTATTTTTATTTCATGCCATTTTACCTGTTCTTTATCTTCGTTTAATGTAAAATTTGTACCCCATTCTTCTTGTAGGCATTTCAGATCATAAAATTGTTCATGTGTCATTTCTTGAACATTATAAGGCAGACCAGTCTTTTTTGCAGTTCGAATTAGTGTTGAATATTGATTTGGTATATAAATTTTCATTTGTTTTCCTATCACACTATGAATATTATCACCCTCATTTTGAGAGTGACCTCGTATTAAAAACTTACGGTATAAGAAGTGATGCTCTTAAATTAATTATTATATATTTAAGTGACAGAACGTAAAAAGTTGTAATTAATAGTATGAGTTCTTCCGGGTCGACTGTACAAATGGGCGTGCCTCAGGGCTCAATTCTCGGCCCCTTTCTGTTTCTTGTATATATTAATGACTTACCTTACATAGTAGGGGATAACCATGATATAGTATTATTTGCTGATGATACTTCATTAATTTTCAAATTAAAACGACAGTTATTAAAGTGTTGAAACAGCAAGAATAGTTTACTTTAGTTATTTCCATAGTATTATGTCGTATGGTATTTTGCTATGGGGACACGCGACTGACACTGAAATTATATTTATTTTACAGAAGAGAGCTATTAGAGCAATATATAATTTAAAACCAAAAGAGAGAGAAATTTAAGGAAATTAATATATTAACTCTGGCCTCTCAATATATTTATGAAAATGTAATGTACGTACACAAGAATAAACGTAGTTTTGCAAAAATAAGTGATATTCATTCTGTAAATACTAGGAACAGACACAAGCTAGTAGTACCAGTTACTCGACTCCACCGAGTCAGTAATTAATTCTTAGGGCGATGTATACGCTTTTACAACAAAATCCCAGAAAATATACAAAATTTGTCATACGCAAAGTTGAAAATTTTTATTAAACTAAGTTTGTATAAAAAGGGTTATTATAATATTAAGGAATTTATGGATGATAGTAACCCCTGGGAAGGGTGATTGCTACCATGCTATTTCTAATTTGTGTTGTGTTATTAATTGTAAACATGATTGTAAGCTATTATTTGAAAAAAAAAATAGTCTCGCTGGGTTTCTTGCTGGTTCTACCCAGGACAGAGATTTTTTTGCGAACCAGTGATAAATGAAAAAAAATGACTTTCAATAAGTATTGCTTACTTATAATCTACATTGAATAAAAAAGTTTCTGTTTCTGTTTATGTTTAATGGAGTTTATTCCCATATTATAAACATCAAAGGCGTAGGCAGACAGAAAATATTTATTCTTCTGCTGGCCACAGCAATTATCAGAATAGATTATAACATTTAAATCTTTTCCTGTATTTTCAGCTATCAGTGTTTCCATGTAGTTAATAACACGGCTTCCAATTTCTGTACAACCTAGTTTTCCCTCTGTCTCATCCCAGAAATAACAAATTACATTTTTTGCTTTTAAATCACTGACCGTGAAATTAAAACAGTTTATCCTAGATTTATAAAAAAATAAGGATACCTGTCCTTAGGCATTACTGCTTGCGGATCATATACAGCTACTTTAACATCAGTTCTTTTTTTATCATTATCCTTTTCTATCCTTGCTAATTCTTTTTCTTTAAGATGTTGTTCATAGTTTTCTTGTAGTTTCTGCTTGCCATTTTTATCTGAATTACTGTAGCTTTCATATAGATCGCAAAGATCCTTTTTTGGTGTAAAGAATGAGATATTGAACTCTGTATTAAATATCCGATTAAATGTTGACGCTGTAGCAATTAGTAAGTTGTCTCTTTGACGAATTTCTTTATAGTCTCTATACAAACTGGCTAGACATTTATCACTTTGTATGTATTCACGTGAAGTTTGCGCTCGAAGGTAAAGCGATTCAATACGTGGTATACTGTTGATAAAATTTTTCACACTTTCTCTAATGTCGGAATCAAGTGTTGGATGCTTACCATGCTTACCCCTCAATTCTCCTTCTACAAAGCCAGAGTTGGATTTTTTTGATAACGCTGTTTTTATTGGTCTGTCATTTAAATCTACAATCGCAAACCTTCTACATCAAAGTAGAATGCTGTATTAAGAGCACGAAAGTTTTGCGTATTTGAGTATCTATACTTAGGTTTAATCTCTTGTGTCTGTCTTAAAATAAATTCTCTTTGTGTCTACAAATTATCAGAATCCCAATAATTATTAAATAGCATTTGTCTTGTAGCTTCATTTATTTTTGAACTTCATTTAAGGCGACAGTTTTCTCCACAAGATGGGCGGATTTCTTTCACTGACACTTGTTTCTTTAGTTTCGACATGGACACATTAGGCTTACCAGAATTTCTCAGTTTTTTAGCGATATTTACTTTCCATTTTTCGGGTTTCCTTGTTTTTTTCTTGCTTTTTATTTCTTCAGCTACCTACAATATCGTTATTTTGGTCCGCCTTAGATGAACTATCAGAGCTAGAAGAAGATGAACTACTGCTGCTACTGGAAGAAGAAGAAGAATCGGACTTGTTCGGTGAAGTCGTTTTATTTGGAGATAATATATTAAAATGTGGATCAGCATCGGAATCATCGATGTCACTCTGGTCACTGTGTATGGGCGAAATGTAATAATTTATTTCTTTTTGTTTATTTTCAGCAGATTTGGAAGTACGAGTACTTGGGATAGCCACATCGATTGTATTGCTGATTTTATTAGAGATTGAAGAAGTTATCTCTTCAAGCATAGAAGACTGAACTGTAGTATCTGAACTGCCTAATATAGAATTGAGTAAATTGTCTTTAACCGTTTCATTTGGTGGACTATTTTGTTTGATTTGATCATTATGAGATTCTATGTTAGCAGGTAGGTTTTCTTTGGTGCTACGTTTTGCCATATCCACAAATAAACGTCCTCGGCTCATCATCTTACCGAAATAAAAATTATAATTCCATCAGACCATCAAAAGTGAAATAACCAAAAAAAAAACGTTCTACTAACGGCATAGCTTATAATTTTTGTAAAATAATTAACAATAAATATAAAATTATCAATTTGCATCATGTGTTTATGGTAAACAAGTATTTATATCAAGAAATTAAGTGTATAATAGTGTTTTAATAATATACCATTAAAACCGATACAAATCGAAATTTAAAAAAAAGATGTTAAAACTGTAGTAAAACAAATTTATTCAAAAATATTACTAACCTTGGCTATCAAATAAATATATATATATATTTAACTTAAAAAAAGCAAAAATTTTTATTTCATTCAACGTAAAATCGTTTCATTCGATGTTTTATTTTGCAGGACTCAAGTGGAAGTATACGCACGTCACATAATACAAAGGCCGTGAACAGGCAGGCACTAGTTGTAGCTGAGCGAACGACATAAAGATCACTCCTTGCACTGAATGTTTCATTACCACGTCATTTTCACAAAGCGAACGAACAAATATTCGTTCATATTTGAAAATTTTCAGTTGCAGTGTTTGTTTATATGTGTATTGTCCTAATTTACGTCGGGATATGGAATTGTCTTTGACTCTTGTGAATAAAGGTCACAATTTTTTTAATTAAGAATAAATAATTTACTCATTGCTAACAATAAGTAAATACAGATGCACTTATTTATATCATTATTTATGTAAGAATTGATAAACGAAATTAATATAAACCTGTTTAAAATGTTCTATAATAAGCTTTTATTTTTATGGAGACAAAATGTTTCACAAAAGGCTTACTAGATTTATTAAGATGACAACATCCTTTTTTAAATCTTCGTAAAAACTTTATATTAGTCAATCGTTTTACTGTAATTTAATTATTCCACAGCTCCCCCATAGAATTATTAATCTATGGGGAAACCCATAGATTAATTTAATTTTGTTATAACAACGATTTCTAATATTTAGACGAATACCAGATAGAAGCTAAAAGTACGTCCCCTCCGGGAATATGGGTGCTATAAAGCACTCGATACGTCGGAAAAAAATGAGTAAAATAAGTTAAATTGAATGCGATAAAGTCCGTAAATTCGTTTTATTTAACAATATATTTGTGATTAATTCTGGAAATCACAATATTTACTCAAATTAGACTCAGCTATAAGATATAAAGATTAAGGAACATTTTCTACAGATCGAATCGATCGAATTTTTGTTCGCGAGTTGAAAACGCCCATAGCGCTCGTTTTGATTCTTTTACTAACCTAAGGTTTAATTTGTCTCCTATTTGCCGCCGTCGCCTGGCTCTTCTGTGGCAGCAGCGTACCGCAAGCTAGTTGACCACCCATTGCGAGAGTTTAACGACGTTAACATTTCTTCTCTTGTAATTAGGTACTTTAGCGGAAGTTCGCTGTTTGAAGCCGTTCTTTAAGCAGTCTTTCGCAGTTGAGCTAACGACGTGAGATGATTTTAGTATCGTATTTAAAATTATTTAACATTAAGTTTTAATATCAAAATAATTGCCTTTTATCGAGTTGATGGGGTTTTTTACATGACATTAAATGCATGAATAGTTGAATAGGTATTTGCAAAATTCTTGTCTGTCTTTGACTATCCGGGTAAATTTTCGGGATGGCATAACTGATTGTGATGAAACTCCTCGTAAAACGCACGTCATTTGACTGCCAATCAGCGACATGATAAAATTACGTCACTGCATCATCTTCCTTATAACAACTGAATAAGAATATAATACCGCGGTTGCCAACCTGCTTGTAAAGCTTGGTGACAATGGCAAATATTCTTCTATCCCCTTATTTAAACATTGTGAATGGGTGTCCTATCTTCTGTAGTGGACTTTTGAACGACTATAATGGTAATGATGATGGTAAACGGATTTTTTAATAATAAATTTTTTATCAAATTAATTACATTCTTACGTGGTAGAGTCACGCTGCAACTATATTAAAGTTGTAGCAAGAACAGGTGGGCTCAACCGGGGTAGGATCATACTCTCACAGAATACCAACGTAATATAGTAGCTCAATGCTGCTGTGTTTCGTATGGTGAGACTCTTTTTACTGGAAGCGAGGCATTTCATCTTAGTCTTCACAGTTGACAACGAATTTGCATTTTGATTCTTAATTGAGGATAATTGTAGATGTCTATGGGACACAGCATCCACTTACCATCAGGTGGACTGTGTGCTCGTTCGTCATCCTAAAGGTGTACAACATAGACAAACTTATCATACTAATACAACCCAATATTATTTAATTTAATGATCTCTTAGTTTACTTTGACTCGTACCTCATATTTAATTATCTATCACCGATGTATTTAAACATGTTTTTGGTGTTAATTAAACATCATTAATGGAAGTATTGTGCTCATTATAACTTTATGTATGGACCTGAAACATTAATTTTAAAATATTTAACACGTTTATGGTACGTATATTCCATCAACGATAGTAAAAATATTTTAATAGATTCCGCATAGCGAAACATTTGAAGCGGTTAATTAATAAATTTTTTCCGTAATAGTAAAGTTTACTCAATGGATGGTGGACCATTAAAATGTATTTATTCCTTTTTTTGCATCCGCTTTCGTTTGATCAGCTCGCGGCGTCGTTTGCTAGGTCATTAATTAGGGAAATGTCCTGATGCGTCTCTTTGTACGTCTGTGTCGCTATGCTCAACTCTGAATTGTTTTATAGAGAAATAAAAAGTCGATTCTCAACCGTTTAATGTAATTAAGTCTGGTATCTATGAGAAACTTTATTTCCTTTATTAATTAGTTCCCGCTATACATCATAGTGGGCATGACTTCTAGCTAGGAAACTGTTTATTGGATGAACTAAGAAATGCTTCATCACTTTTATCAGTTTTATCATCATCGCTATTTTATTGTAATCCTTGATAAGTCCCCCACCGGTTAACATAGGCCTCCCCCAAGGTATACCATCGATCTCTGCAGGTTCTACCAGGTGGTCAATCTATCTAGGATGCCATATATTTTGCTAACCGCTTACTGAGACTGCAACTTGTAATTTTATTAGAATAAATAGTTTAACAATTTTGATTTTATTCCCTCGAATATTAGCGTGTTTGAAAAATAAATCGTTATAAAATTACTTGAACCGCTGTATGAAGTGGAGACTATACTGTACATATACTGACTCTCTCTAACTTTTAGACGAGTAAACAGCAGTGGCAACATTCTTATTGGGCATCAGAAATAGCTAAGACGCTGGTACCTACTCAAACGAGCAACATCAGCGATATGTTCTTTCACGCAGGTTTTTATGGATCTTGTAAAGCATCGACGCTTCGGGAAGTCTGCAGTATGTCAACATGCTCAGGATCTGGATAGTATTATAGTAGAAGGTGTGTCTTTCCTAGAGTAGTGGAGTTGGGAGTAGTGGTGTTTGGAGTAGTGGTGTTGGGAGTAGTGGTGCTGGGATTAGTGGTAATGAGATTAGTGCACGCAATTGAGGGAGAGCGAGAGGTGTTCTTCAAACTAGGTTAAACACATTTTATTTCATTGAGCGGTTGGTGGCAAAGTAACTTTTATGTTTTAATGTAACGCCTGATTCTACTAATTATGTTTTGGATCGTCCCAACCATCATATATCAGATTTGATAGACTACAAATCCTCGCATAAGTACACCGATTCCTACCAAGGCTGATTCGTGAAAAAATATCCTAATTTTAATAGAGCAGATGGCTGCGTGCTACCATTTTCTTAGGATCCCACAATTAATAACATATGATATAAATCCAAACCCGAGCATACTACGTTCACTACAGCTTCCTAAAATCTGGCCAAACGATTACGGCAGATATCTATTGTCAGAAGCTGCAAACCATGAAGGAAGAACTAGCTGCTAAACAACCGAGATTGGTCAATCGCTCTAGCCACTGCTGCTTCACGACCACGCAAGACCGCACACTGCACAACAAACAACCACTAAGTCAGATGAGCTACAATTGGAATTTCTGCGACATCCACCGTACTCCCCGGAACTTGCTCCAACAGTAACAATTTTTCCGAAATTTGGACAACTTACAAGGAAACAAATTCAACTCCGATGCGGCAGCCCAAACCGCTTTTAAAGAGTTTATTGATTCTCGCCCCCATGGTTTTTTTTAGTAAAGGGATCAATGAACTACCTATGGGATGGCAAAAGCGCATAGATAACAACGGTGCATACTTTGATTAATTAAATATATTAAAAATTTAACTTTATATGCCTCTAGTAAAAAGCAATTTACTATGTAAGACGTAAAAATTGAAAATGATATTAAACAACCAGCGCGTATTGCCAGTGATGACTTATGGATATGGAACGTGGTCTTTCACTGCTGGCCGTACGCGAAAGCTCAAAGTTGCTCAGCGACCTATGGAAATGACTATGCTTGGTGTTTTTCTCCGTAGTAGAACCAGAGTGACCGACCAAAGGCCACGGGATTAGTAATTTGAAATGGCAAATGGGCAGTGCCAACCGATGGGGCAAAAATATTCTCGAGTGGAAGCTTTTGCACTAGATGGAGTGATGACCTGGTAAGACACGCAGGAAATCAATGTGGTCAGGACAGTACTTTGTGACGTTCTTTGGGGGAGGCCTATGTTCAGCAGTGGACTTGTGAACGGCTGTAATGATGATGACGATGATGACCCTTTGAGCTATTACGATAACTCTTCTACTAATTTCGATTCTTTAAAACGGTTCTAACGATTCTAATAGATTTTACAATACACGGGTTTACAAGGGTGAAAAATCGATCTAGTTAGGTCTCGTTTCTGGGACAATTAGTTTTCTCCGTGTTTTCTTGCACATAGCAATAAACTTGACTTGCCCGCGTATTATGAGCGTTGTGGTCAGAATTTTTTAGTTTATATTGTTTTTTTTTCTTTAGTTAAGTTATCATAGACTTGTTAAATTTTTGTTTATAGAGTTACTTTTACGAAAAAT